ATTTCAGGAAAACATCCCACTTCCGCACACTCTTGGCGTCTGTGTAAGCTTTGAATCAAAACTAGTGCTGGTTTTATAAAAACAAGCATTTTATTTTCTTAACTACAAACTGTCACAATTTTAGCTGTGTTTTGAATTTTACATTAAATAAGGGGCCAGATTTGGCCATTACCATACCTTTTCCTTAATTATTCTGGTCGGAATCATTACAAATTTTGTCAATTTATTTATACTGGGTATATTTGACTAGATTAATGTATGTCATTTAAGATTTATTAGCATTGAATGCTTGGTTATTTTTCTACAAAAAATTAAGATTAATGAATTTTAATCCTCTAAATGACATCATTTCTTAGTACATGTACTATGAACATGGTGTTTCATTTATTTTTAGCTCACCTCAATGAAGTTGGGGGAGCTTATGTAATACCGTCGGCGTCCCGGGTTAAGGTTAAGTTTTTTGGAGCAGTTTTCTTTTCAAGTACTTCTATGTCCTATATTGATTAGACATGCATGGAAGATGTTTCATTTTACCAGTCAAAGTTTCAGATGCTGCTATTTCAGCAAAGGAATGACCAGGTTAATGTTTTTGGAGCAGGTTAACATTTTTGGTGCAGTTTTTGGTGTAAGTCTCATTTCCAAGTAACTATAAGCCCTATGTTGACCAAACTTGCATGGATGGTACATCTTAAAATGCACACTACCAGGCTTGCTTCGGATGCTGAATCTGACCTACATTTTCTGCATGAGGGAACAGGTTTATGTTTTCGGTGCAGGTCTCATTTACAAGTAACTATGAGCACTATAGTGACCAAACTTGCATGGATGATACATCTTAGAATGCATACTACCAGATTTGCTTCGGATGCTGAATCTGACCTACATTTTCCGGTTGAGTGAACAGGTAAAAGTTTTTGGTCCAAGTTTCATTTCCAAGTTACTTTGAGCCATATAATGACCAAACTTGCAAGGATGGTACATTTTATGATGCATACTACCAGACTTGTTTCGGATGCTGAATCTGACCTACATTTTCAGGTTGAGTGAACAGGTTAAAGTTTTTGGTGCAGGTTTCATTTCCAAGGTACCATGAGCCCTATGCTGACTAAACTTGCATGGATGATACTTCTTAGGATTCATACTACCAGACTTGCTTCGGATGCTGAATCTGACCTACATTTTCAAGTTGAGTGAACAGGTTAAAGTTTTTGGTGCAGGTTCATTTCCAAGTTACTATGAGCCATATAATGACCAAACTTGCATGGATGGTACATTTAAAGGTGCATTCTACTAGGCTGGCTTTGGATGCTGAATAGTTTTTTATACAGGTTTCATTTCCAAGTAACTTTGAGCCCTATATTGAGCAAACTTGCATGGATGATACATCTTAGGATGCACACTAATGGACTTGCTTCAGATGCTGAATTCGACATACATTTTCCAGATAATGGACCTCTTAAAAGTTATGGGTGCATGTCTTTTACCTAGAAACTATAAGGCTTATATAAACCAAACTTGCACAAATGATGCATCAAGGGATGAAAACTCTAACTTGCTTCAGAACTAGTTTGAAGTTTTTATATAGGTCTATTCCAAAGTATCAAATCAAAATTGCATAATTTTTGCATTTTTGGATGTACACTTTTTATTGATTAATTGTGTGACTTTGCCTTACTTTAAAGACAACATTCGTTGAGGTGAGCTCTGTAATCTCTGATTACCTATGTTTGGTTTTTGCGATTAGTAGGTAGTTTTTTGAAAGGTGGATGGATGCTTAACAGGGGGGGAAAAATTTGGGGTAGACTTGACTTTACTGGTCCTCCCCAGATCCGCAAGATCCTCAGGCTCACTGGACTATGACGTAACAACTACGTCACTCAACTGAAATGTGTGTTAAATTTGCACACTATTCGACTGATTAGGGTTAGTTTTGCACCCACCTGAGAGATTAGGGTTAGTCCTTGAACTAGTATTCGACTGATTAGGGTTAATCTCACATCCATCCGAGAGATTAGGGTTCGTCCTCGCACATTATTCGACAGATTAGGGTTAGTCTAGCATCTGCCCTGGAGATTTCGTCTAAACGTTTTCCGATGGATTAGAGTTCAGTGACTTGTTCTTTTAGATAAGTTTAAGAAATTCAGTTGTTTCTGTAATTTTTCCAAGATCATAATTCAGCTTCAGTGGCATTTCCTTTGTTTGTTTACATGGAAGAATGGCTAAGTCCGAAAGAAATGGCACTAAGCATGCGCTGCACACGCATCGTTCAGAATTATTCTTTGTCGATTTTTTCCATGAATAAACAATATTTATTAATTTTGTTAGAGAACAACGAAGTTTTAAACTTTTAACCGTAGAATTCAATTTTGGGGTCAAAAGGCCAAAAAACCTCATATTAAATTTTTTTTTTAATCGCTCATGCAATCTCATATATACTGAAGTCGCCTTTTGCGACACTACATTTTAGTGCATTTTTCTGGGGACCGGTCAAGTAAAGTCGTTCCAAAATTTGGAATGGCCTGATCTGAAAATTGAAGTTTGCCCTATAATTAAGCATGATTGAAATGCTATTCATATATAAAGTTTAAATCATCATAAAGGCTCAGTGAAAATTTAAAACATAGGTAATCAAAGATTACAAAGCTCACCTCAACGAAAGTTATCAGGTTAAGTAGCAAATCTCACTTCATATTTTTTAAACAGTAAGTATTTATCCTGACAACAATGTTCAAGCAAGTTTTGTTCAAATAGGTCTTAAAGTTCATTGGGGATTAACCTGTTCCAAAAACTTTAACCTGGTCACTTGTTTAGAAAATGTAGTTCAGATCCAGCATCCTTAGCAAGTTTTGATTGTCCATCCTTAAATTCATCGTCCAAGGAAGTTTGATCCAGTAAGGGCTTATAGGTTATTGGGAATAGCCTAGTCAGTCATCTGGAAATTTAGGTCAGATCCAGCATCTGAAGCAAGTCTGTTAGTGTCCATCTCTTAGATGCATTATCCATGCAAATTTGGTCCGGGTAGGGCTGATAATTACTTGGGAATGGACCTGCTCCAAAAACTTGAACCTGGTCATTCATCTGCAAAATGTAGGTCAGATCCAGCATCCGAAGCAAGTCTGGTAGTGTCCATCCCTAGATGCATCATCCGTGCAAATTTGGTCCGGGTAGGGCTTATAGTTACTTGGGAATTGACCTGCTCCCAAAACTTTAATGTAGGTCAGATCCAGCATCCATCCCTAGATGCATTATCCATGCAAGTTTGGTCCAGGTAGGGCTTATAGTTACTTCGTCAAGGTGAGCTAAAAAGTGGACTAAAAAGAGTTTTACATACACTTGTATTTTGTTATTATCATTGCTCTGTGGTTTTAGTATGGAGTCGTGTAGATGGTGATTCAGGGAGGATAAGGTGGAGTGAGGTACCCCTTAAAAAGAATCCGTTTTGTGGGTACTTGTTAAGGGTCAACCTACTGGAGAAAAGAAAAATTAATTTTGTTACTCTTCATCTTTAAAACTTTGCTTGTTTGCTTGACAGATACCGTATAATCCCTATTAACCGCCCCAGGCGCTTAGAAAATTTCGAAAAGGGGGGCGGTTATTTTGGTATTCTTTTTATATTATTTAGTGTCATTCTTATACTTCAAAAATTTTAAAGAGCAACTAAAATAATGTCGAACTTTACTTTAAGTGAAGATAATCCACCCAATTTATGCGATATGATTCATTTTCCACTGAGAAATTGGATAATAGACAAGTTACATTTTCACTTTGTTCAAATTTTGGCAGACTTTTGATACGATTCTAGATGATTTTAATCAATGTACAGGGGGCCCTTATTTTCTGATAATTGAAAAAAGACCTAGGGGGCGCTTATAGGGGCAGGGGTGGTTAATAGGGATTATACGGTATTTCAAAACTGTTTGGTTGTCAGACATTAAACTTGGAACTCTAAAAATTAGATGTCATTTTGAAGCCTGCCCAATAGAGAAATGTTTGTCAACATCAAAACTTCATATGCTGTAAATTAGATGACCTGTATTGTTTTGAAGTTATAGGTCTGGGGTCAAATTATGGATACCAGATTGTCTGCTCAGTATTTTCACAGACATCAAATTTGTACAGAAGAAAGATGAACACTTGATTTTGTGTTCAGTAACCTGTGAACTCTGGTTGATACAAATTAAACTTGTTAAACAAATCAAACTTGTTAATCAAATCAAACTTGTTAACTGTTTACTAGAAATTAGATGACCCTATCAATTTTAAAGTCACAAGGTCAGTGGTTGAACTAAGATGGATACAAGTTTAATCGCTCAATATGTTGTGAGCTTAGCACCTGTAGAACCTTCCTTTGTTCTTTAAGATCCCTCTCGAGAATTTTTCATACAAATGGAGATGCCACCACTTGCCGGAGAGCTGCAAATTTTAACCTATATTCGGAATTGAGGGTCGCAGTGAGAGATCTTTTTGGTGCCAGCATCTACTGCGACACAGGACCTGGGTTTATACGGTCTAATCCCAAGGACCGGTCTCCACGTTGCTCAGTGGAATCTTGTAGAGATCAAAATATTGTGGTTGCCCAGAGATAGTATGTAATTTCCTAGGATCTTTAGTAACTTTTCATTCAAATGGAGACACCTTTAGTTACTTCTTTAAGAAAAAATCTTTGTTGAAAGGTGAATACTATATTTATTATGAATTAACTGCATAAATGAAAATTCCACATATAAATTTGTTCATATAAAATATCACAAACAACAACAAAGAATAAAGTTATGTGGCACATATTTGTCAGATTTTTAATGATGTACATTAAGAATAAGGACGTTTATATTACAAAAAAATAAAATGGTTAAGTTCTGGAAAAGGCAATATTTTCATACAAACATGTAATGTTCCTTGCCAAATATTAAAGAACTTGGAAAAACGGAAATGTATTTACCAGGGTATAATGTAACTGCCAATAAAACAGCTATTGTATAACTACCAATTTTAAGATTTGAACAATTAAAACAATAGAAATTTTGCATCCTATTTAAAGTTCAAAAATATAATAATTATCTGCAATGATCACACAAAAAATACATGTATTAAAATGATGTAAAGAAAAAAATCATAACAGATCACTGATGAACGTGTATATGTACAAATAGACTAAACCAATGTTAACAACATCACATACACTGAAAATCTTGAAAGAATTAACAATAAAAATATTTACAAGTATAGTATTAATTTAACACATGTATTATATTGCTATGACCAGCTAGCAGTTTTGTTTAATTTCTCCAATACAAAGGCTGTAATTTGTACAAATTAAGTCTTTAAGGCACAGCATCACCTAGAGATCTATCAAATACATGTACCAGTATTATGCAACAGTTAAGAACGTAGACTAGAAAATGCTGATGCTGTTTGATCTTTAGTTGACGACGGCTGAGGTGCACATGGTGTTCAGGCCACAAACCCCTGCTCCACGATAAACCAAATAGTAACCCTGTAAAGAAAAATTGGAATGTGAAGAGTTTTCCCCCTTCTGTTCTTAAGGCTTGTTAATCACCATGCCAAGACAGGAATTTTTTTTTATTATCAGTTGTGCTTCGTTTACAGTATCTTCATGTGACAATCATAAACCAACCAAATTCAGAAAACTTTTTAGTCTGAAATGAGGTAAAGCTTTTTTAGTAAATTGTTTTCCTACAAACCTTTTCTCCCCAGTCCGGCCCCCAGCTGTTCTTAACAATCCAGTACGGCTTACTTCCATCTGAAAATACGAGCAAAGTAAATCAAATCCATGAACAAGTGAACATTTGGCACTGCAACGTGTCATATATCCAAACAGACATTCATTCACATCTATTAATGTTTTAAATGCATTAATGAAAATGTTCTCTGTTTCAGGAATTTATGACATAAAAAATACAGATATTTAATTTTTTTTCCACATCATACTTCCTACTTACCAACACCATAACCAACAATCAATACTCCATGGTCTAGTTTTGTTGGATTACAGAAGAATTTCCAGGGATGTGATATTCCTCCCATGTAAAACTGCAAAAAGAGGGAAAAACATAAACAAAAATCAATTATAAACCTGATCAAAGTCATATAACCTTAACAAGATGAACTTTGATCAAGACCATGACAAACCTCTGTCATCATTAAAAGCAATTTTGAAAGCATTTCAATCATCCATCTAGACTCATACCCGACATAATTTCACTTCTTCATGACCTTGTGACCTTGACCTCTGAGATCTGCCCTTCACTCAATATCAATGATATTAAACATTTATATGGGCTAAAATATGAACGCAATAAAATTTAAACTCCTCCCAATCCAGTTTTTTATAAGATATGACAGGGACACAATTTTATAGAAACAGGGAGACAACCTGCCATAAACCAGTAAGTCCTGTGACTGGAGAGAGACAACTCAGATGTTTTTTCTGGGACTTGTATTGAGACTTTATTTAGTACTGTACTAGTACTGTAATCCTCCCCTTGACATTCTGATTACAATCTTGAAGTCCATTATCTAGCCTTGACATTATCTAGGGAGAGACAACTCAGATGTTTTTCTAGGACTACCTAGCCTTGACATTATCTTTCTCTTCACAGAAACACCTGGACATGGCCAGCAACTGTTCATCACTGTCACAAACCATTTTCTTGTGTAACCGTATAGACTTTTTCACAATTTTTAAGCTGCATTTTCAAACTAACAAATCATGAGTATAAGTTGTCAGTAAAATTGAAAGATCAATGTCTTCAATCAGCATTATGTAGTTTCAAACAAGAGGCCCACGGGCCTTATAGGTCACCTGAGTATCATGTAACAAGTTTCCAGCGATTGTATTTGCTTCAATCCAAAAGCCATGAAATTCACAAATTTTATAGAGACCATGCTTATCAAAGGGCAGATTTCAAACATTTATTATTAGTAGTAAACCCAGGGGCCCTGAAATTATCTAACCTAAGGCCAGCCATGAGAATAAAAAACCAGTAAAAAAAAAAGATAAATCAATTATTAACATTTGTACATTTTGTGACTGGACACATGAGAGACTGTAAGCTATAACAGAGACCTAAACAATGTTTTTTAAAACCTTGGGGAGGAAAATAATTTACCGACAGACTTGTATAGCTCACCAGCATGTCACTGCAACAAAGTTCAGCATTTTATTTGTCCTTTGAACGGGTGAAACGTTTTGAATGGCACCCTGATAAATTTTACACTAAACCAAGCTATCCATTTACCCGCCCTTGAACATTCGTAAATTTGAAATTACTCAAATTTGACATCGGAAAGAAAAAAATTGTTTTAGAAAATTCAAAACCTTGAATTGAGGGTTTGTAAAACTAAATATTAAAAGAAATCCTAGCCTTAAATATGTAATTAGATCATTAGTAGGAGCAAAGGATAAGATGTTCAAAGAGAGACAACTCAGATGTTTTTCTAGGGCTCATCATAACTATGTACTTAGTTAGTTTATTTAATACCCAGGAGCAGAGAAGAAGATTATCAAATAACATGTATTATCACTACATTCTCTTCACAGAAACACCTGGCCATAAAATTCACAATGGCCTCATAATAACTAACTGTTTATTTAATTCGAAGAAATAATGCATTTTCACTGTCACAAACCATTTTCAATTTTGTAACCGTCATGCAAACAGTTTGACTGCTTGATGTCCAATTTTTAAGATTGCATTAATTTTATTTTCAGGCCCCTAACAAATCACAATTTTTGTTTCCCTTCACCCATAGATGCTTTGTGCCAAATTTGGTTGAAATTGTTGCAGAGAAGATGAAAATGTTCTTCAATCAGCATTATGTAATTTCAAAAAAAGAATTAAATTGCCAATGTACCCTCTGAAGGTTTGAGTAGTAAGTGATGTGTCCCATTTGGTCGTGTCAGATTGTGACCTTTATTATCTTTATTTCTTAATATGGAATCACCTGGTCTACTTTAATACAACAGAACTACATGTACTGATAAGATGTTTCTTCAATGTACAACAGATGTGGAAATTCTGATAAAATCCTTCATATCAGGAAAACCAATGATCAACATGCCATGTGGAATCTAACCACGAGTTTCAAGAAATACAAAGAGAGTACACAAAAGTTTCTATACATGTATCACTATTTAACCAGAGATTATCATGTATGGAAGTTATCCATTGAACTGTCATCCCTGTGATGTTTGAATTGACCAATAATAAGAATAATTCACATTCTATTTACTGAATCTGAAGATTTCCTTTCTGTTTCTGGGATATATTTATAATCACAATGAGAGCCACTCCTATATTGAATGTATTGTAACTGGAGAGGAGAAAATGCAGTGGACCAGACCGGGATTTGAACCCAGGCCCCCTGAAACTCTGGCCTGGTGCTCACCAACCGAGCTATCTGGCCACCGACGATTGAACCCAGCTGACAGCCCCATTCCTCCCTCCTTAAAGGTCTTTGGCCCTCCAAAGACCCCAACCCAGGCTCATCCCTGGCAGGTCTTTCACCTGTCAATTCCAGGGCATGGCATGGTATAAAATGAACTGGGAGAGGAGAAAATGCAGCGGACCAGACCGGGATTCGAACCCCGCCCTCTGAAACTCCAGTCAGGTGCTCTACTAACTAAACTATCTGGCCACCGGCGATTGAACCCTGCTGACCGCTACAGTATTATTAACAATCGTACATGACGCCCCATACAGTACCTGCATAGCAAAGGCATTGATTCCAATAGAAATGGGTCCATTCTTCACCAACCATGCTGCCATCTCTATAAAATAAATTTATTTACAAAATTAATGGGTAAAATTTGCAACAAATTTATTAATGTGAGAGGAAAGTAATGTCTTCTTGTCAAAAGAGTTCCAAATCCATGTACACTTTATGGCTAGTTTTATCCTGTCACTCATTTAACAAGTATTGCCAAGATGTACAAGAGACTCATGGACCTTGGTCACCTGAATAAACATGAGTATCTCTAGTTATAATGGCTTTGATCCTAATTAAGCTTCCAACTCAGATGGACTGCTAAATCCTGAAGACTTACACATGTACATCTGTGTAGAGAGGTAGTTGCTTTATATTATGTATAGGTGACTGAGTGACTCAGGTGAGCTAATAATATTGAAGTACAAACTTCCAACAGCAGTGACCGTGGTGACTGACCTGTTTCATTGCTGGAGATGGACACTGAGCCGTTAATTTTCACTCGAACCATTGATTTGTTGAAGGTGCACTTCTCATCGTGTGCTCTATATTTATAGTCTGTCTCACTCTCTAGTCCTCCTGTAAAGACAATACAGTGTAATCTTTGTTACATTGGGGCAAACAAACATTTACAATCTTTAGGAAGCTTTGACCCTGCATCCTCGTCTGATTTAATTCTTAGACAAGATGTCACTCCTGGCAGACCAGCAACTGTGACAGAGAATATTTACCTTTAATTTGAAATCAAATATATAACTTTACAAACTTGGTTTTTTTATGACCTCTATGACCTCTTTGTCAGGGCTCCATATAACTGATGACAAAGTGTACAGTGTACTGACCTAGTCTGATGATTTCTTTGTAGGCCTGGCTGGGTAGTCCACCATTACAACCCTCATCTACTTTATCACAGTCCACCAGCTCTGTTATAAACAAAGACATCAACAAACAATGTAAAAATACAGGCAAAACACAATAAACCAATATCTTAATCATACAGAAAATAACACACTGGTTGATATTGTTTTTTATGTAATCAACAAGCATATCACGCTTTAAAACCAAAGTGGACAGAATATGTAAAAGATGCATCTTTAAATATCCTACCCAATGTCCAATATAAGAAGTTTCCCTCAATTTGGACAATTTTTTTTACAGGGTGTTCTGAAACTTATTTTATATAGAAAACCACAAAAATAACAGCCATATCATAGTGTGTTAATTTTTAATATGAGTAATAAACAGGAAATAAAGAGAGAGTAACAAGGTACAATGGGTACAATGACCATGTAATACCAAGTAGTACCTTAATTTACTATTCATATCAATGGATCACAAATGACTAGTAGCTGTACTTATTGTGAGTACTTTGGAGTATCAACTGTTTATCTCATGTTATTGACATGAAAGTTGTTGACATCAGACTTAAATGTCCTTGTGTACAGGAGTCATAGGACACTACAATGATAAGGAGTTTATAAGGATTGCTTAATCTATGTAGACTACATGTAGCAAATCTCATGACAAATCTCTGTCACTTCAGCCAAAGAGAAATACTGTAAATGTACTATATTTAGTGCTTACAATATTTGGTGGTAATTGGATTTTGAACAAGTTAGCGTGGATCTGATTTAGAGCATATCTTAATATTCTTCTTTATAGATTTATGTGAGAGACATTTAGCCTCGTACTTGAATTAGCGGATATTGCTTTCTGCCAAAAACGCTAAAAAGAATACTCATCAAAATGTAATTTACAATATTACACACCTTTATTGTTTATCGACAGAATACTGTGAAATCTCTAATTTTTGTGGGGGGTTAGTTTTGTTGTTTTTAAGGTATGGAGAGACACAAAAATTTAAGTCCACCACGAAAATGCAATTATTCACATATACACTAAAACTCGGTTAGTACGCACACGGATATTGTGAATTCACGGATATAGCGAAGTTATCTTGGATCCCCAGTTATATAAATTTAACAAATTCTTACACGGATATAACGAATTACGGATATAACGAAGTAATTTCATAGGTCCCAGTGACTTCGTTATAACCGAGTTTTGATGTATAACTACTGCATGAAAACAAATCCCCATGAACCAATATATATTTTCCTCAAACCATGAAAATTTGACCCCTCGAAATATGTGATTTTACAGTATTATGAGAACTGCTTTATACATTTATTTCATAAATCATTAAAGAAAACTCTATCTCTACCTCGCTGTAATCCTTACCTTGTTCAGACAGAGAGATGAGTTTTTTCTTCTGAATGGCCCACTGTCCTTCTATGTTCCCAGTGGTAGAGAAAGCCCAGCAGGACCCACAAGATCCCTGGAAAGTAAACTACACTTTACAATTTGTTTGACAAACCAAAGGATCATAATTTGATAATTTTTATAACTAGAGATTAACTCGGGGATGCTCAGGAAGAGTGAATAAATTGGCAAAATTGGAACCATGAAAGTCAATGATATTAACCTTGTGAAGAAAAAAAAAAGAACAACTGTTATCATGCAGGTTTTTTTTTCTGATTTATTTTATAAACAACTCCCTTCTTGAAAAGGGATATAAAGGGATGGGGATGTCTGTGTCTGGCTATAGAAAATTCTAGAATTTTAAATGTTTGACCTTGACCTCCATCGGACCAACTTTTCTGTGTAAGAAATAGAAAAAATTCCATTAAGTCAATGAATTTATCGCATTAAATAAATCTTTAAAAGGAATCTGACCTGATTTTTAACTTCTGTCACAGCGCCATGTTCACGCCAGTCAAAACTTTTAGGCAGAGACTTAAATTTGGGAATGGTTGCCTTCTTCATTCCTTTATTAGCATTCTGGTCCCAAAGTTTGCCAACATACTGCTTAAATTCAGATTCTGTAAAGGTAACAAAAAAAAAAAACATAGAGGAAATCAATATTAAGCCACTTTCCAAACTGATGTTTTAATTTGAAAACTGTGAAAACTGTGTGGCTTACCAGACATGTCTGAAAATTTTGTGATTCCGTACACTGCTGTTCCTTTCTCAATGTCTTGCATCTTCTGGGCTTTCTTCAAGTTATCACAGAATATCTTAAATCTCTTCTTCTCCTCTGAAGCAAGATATGCATTGAAATATTTTATGTCATATCACATAAGGTGAAATGCTGGTACATGAAAGACTTCAATCACAAAGAAAAAGATGTCTGGCATTGTTCTAAACTAAATAATGTATTAAAAACAATGGTACCTTCTTTAGACATGTAGAGCCTCTCATATTTTGCTTGGAAGTTTTGAAACACACCCCATTGGCAAAGATCCCCAACACTGCCCTTTAACATGGGACTTCCATTTAGTAACAAAGCTCCTCCATCCAGAACATTCACATTACCATGAGGCTTAAGATCATGTCCATCTCCACCAATCAAATTTTGCTTTCCATGGGGCTTTAAATCATGTCCATCTCCACCAATCAAATTTTGCTTTCCATGGGGCTTTAAATCATGTCCGTCTCCACCAATTAAACTTTGTTTTCCATGTGGCTTTAAATCATGTCCATCTCCACCAATCAAATTTTGTTTTCCATGTGGCTTTAAATCATGTCCGTCTCCACCAATTAAACTTTGTTTTCCATGCAGTTTCATATCATGCCCATCTTTACCCAGCAGTTTTTTGAGATCCATCACTTTTCTATCAGATTTCACTTTATTTTTTCCCAAGTTATAAAGCTGATATCCTAAGTTTAAAAGAGCTTTGCCAGATTTGCACATTTTCCCTTTGCAATCAAATGCCTCATTAATCTTTTGTGCAGAATTAGATTTCAATTTTAATCCAAGTTTCTCTTTCAGTGCTTTCAACTTCAGGGTTTTTAAGTCTTCTGGCTCTACCTCAATGTTTTCCTACAAATTAAAACATATAAAATGGCTTTAAAATATAAATTTCTCTGACAATGATTGATATACAACTACATGAGTTAACCAGAAGTCTCCGATGAGACTGTAGCTCTACTGGTTTATACTTATAACAAAGAAAGAGAAAATTAACATATTGCAACTTGAAACTTTGCAACAGCATAAATTTAAAAAAAATATCATTGATTTAATCTTTTTTCTTGGCAAGATTTATTGTAATAAAACCAAAGCTGTAGGAGTAGCATTTTTAAAATATTTCAAAGAAATTTCAATTTTTTAATAACCATGGCAACACCATTCATCGAAATCGAAAACCGATACACAGAATTATGTATCTTAGCATAGTTTTCTTGTGTGCCAAGAAATATTGAAATCAGACCAAAACTGTAAGAGGAGTAGCATTTTGAAAATATTTCAAAGAAATTTCTATTTTTAGTAACCATGGCAACACCATTCATAGAAATCAAAAACCAATATAAAGAATTATATATGTATCTTAGTGTACTTTACTTGTGTGTTAAGTAATACTGAATCAGACCAAAACTGTAGGAGTAGCATTTTGAAAAAATGTTTACAGACGGACAGACACCTTACTAATCGCATAAGCTCTTTAGTCTTTGACCAGTAGAGCTAAAAAGGACAAAATAGGGTAAGACCCGTTTTTGGTCCCTGATTTTGGGTGTCTTTCAAAATGATGCAACAGATTATCAATAGAAACCTGTTGTCATCCCTTCCACAAAATGAGAATTGGTTCTAAGTTTTGAAATACGCAGAGATTACAGAGAGGTCAGAAAATAGGTCAGTTTTCGAATTTTCTCATTTTTATGCAAATTTTCATTGTTTTTACAGCATATATTTTGTTTCGGAAAACATAAGCACAAGCTTGCCTATCTACCAAATTAATATATTTTATCAACTAGTATCGGATGCAGTTTATGTGTAAAAATCTCAAATAGGCAAGCTTGTGCTCTATGTTTCTCAAAGAGAAAAGTATCTCAAATATAATGAAATTCCACCAGAATTGAGGAAATTCGGGAAAATGTCCTACTTCTGCACCCTCTTATGGCTTCCATGTAAGCTTTGAATCAGAATTTATGCTGGTTTTAAAACAAGCATCATTTTAAGTCCTTAACTACAAACTATCACAATTTTACCAGTCTAACCATTCAATTTCAAACATCAAGATAAAGGAAGAGATTTAGTCACAAGTGCTATTATTTCAAATTAAATATGTTCCTTGTTAAAGTCAATGTATTAAAAGCAGGCAATGTTCTTGGATTTTAAGGAGAACAAATACTGTATACAGGGTTATTTTTGCCCTTTTCACACATGCTAACAATTTTGCTCAGTTTAAATTCTCCCATTCACAGTTCTGTTTAAAAAAACTATACAGTGTTCTTTTATTTGGTCCCATTTTAAATTTGCACAAATGTGACAAGGGTGAAAACAAGAGGCCCACGGGCCTTATAGGTCACCTGAGCATTATGCAACAATTTTCCAGTTATTGAATTTGATTCATGTTTTAAGCCAGATGCTGTATGACATTCACAATTTTGAAAGAGGACCATTGATCATCATAACAATACACTTAACAGTTGCTTAGCTTGGTTACTGAATACCCATATGCAGGGTAGGGGAACAAAAATGCATTCCAACTAACCAGTAGTGCCCCTAACACTTTGACATAAACCCCTGACCCTAGGTCCACACATTGCACAAATTTCAAAAAGGCACCCTTAATATAAAAAAATAAATAAATGTTTTATAAATACAAAAGAGCACATTTCAAACAATAAATTCATTTTCAGTATATAAGTAGAGCCCCCATCCCACCCCTGACCCTGGGGGTTTGAAATTCACAATTCTGCAAGATTAGGGCCCTTGCTCATCATAACTATAAAGGTAGTTCATCTGCTTTGTACCCAGAGACAAAGAAAAAAAAATTCAAAGATTTAATGTATTTTCATTATATAATCAATTGAGCCCCGCCCCCCTAACACCAGAACCCCTGACCCTGGGGCCATAAAATTCATTATTTTAAAAGAGGCATTCTTGCTCATCATAACTATGTACTTAGTTTATTTAATTCCTAGGAGCAGAGAAGAAGATTTTCAAAGAATTCATGTATTTTCAATATATAATCAATAGAGCCCCGCCCTAACACCAGAAACCCTGAACCTGGGACCATAAAATTCACAATTTTGGTAAAAACACTCTTGCTCATCATAACTATGCACTTAGTTAGTTTATTTAATACCTAGGAGCAGAGAAGAAGATTTTCAAAGAATTCATGTATTTTTACTATATATAATCTATAGAGCCCCGCCCTAACACCAGAACCCTTGACCCAGGGGCCATAAAATTCAAAATTTTCGTTGAGGCACTCTTGCTCATCATAACTATGCACTTAGTTGGTTTATTTAATACCTAGGAGCAGAGTAGAAGATTTTCAAAGGATTCATGTATTTTCACTATATACATGTAATCAATAGAGCCCCCCCCCCCACACCAGAACCCTTGACCCTGGGGCCATAAAATTCACAATTTTGGTAGAGGCACTCATGCTCATCATAACTATGCACTTAGTTAGTATATTTAATACCCAGGGGCAGAGAAGAAGATTTTCAAAGAAATCATGTATTTTCACTATATATAATCAATAGAGCCGCCCTAACACCAGAACCCCTGACCCTGGGGCCATAAAATTCACAATTTTGGTAGAGGCACTCATGCTCATCATAACTATGCACTTAGTTAGTATATTTAATACCCAGGGGCAGAGAAGAAGATTTTCAAAGAAATCATGTATTTTCACTATATATAATCAATAGAGCCCCGCCCTTACACCAGAACCCCTGACTCTGGGGCCATAAAATTCACAATTTTGGTAGAGGCACCCTTGCTCATCATAACTATGTACTTAGTTGGTTTATTTAATACCCAGGAGTAGAGAAGAAGATTTCCAAAGAAATAATGCATTTTCACTATATACTTATTTAGCCTCGCCCTAGCACTAGAACCCCTGACCCCAGGGTCATGAATTTCACAATTTTGGTAAAGGACTCAATGCTGATTACTATCATGCAAACAGTTTGACTGCTTGATGTCCAGGAGTAAAGAAGAAGATTTTTTAAGATTGCATTAATTTTAGTGGTTTTGGCCCCACCCCTCAGGCCCCAGGGGGGCAAGGATCATGAAATTCATAATTTTTGTTCCCCTTCACCCATAGATGCTTTGTGCCAAATTTGGTTGAAATTGGTTCAGTGGTTGCAGAGAAGAAGCTGAAAATGTTCAAATGTTAACACACAACGGACGACGAACGACGGACGACGTACGACGGACGACGACGGACGAAAACGGATAGCAATAGGTCACCTGAGTTTACTCAGGTGACCTAATAAAACAGGAGCAAAAATTTCCCTGTTTACAGTATTTGAGTACTTCAGAGAAAAAAAAAATAATATGGGTGAACTCCATGATCCAATATATTAGGGCTGAAACAATTCATCGAAATATCGATATTGTTCAATATAACTCCTCAATTCAATATTCAATTCACTACCTCAATTTTCAATTCAATACATTTTTTTTTATAATCAGGCTAGATTATCCCTTGAAATGACCAGCTTTGTCCTCATTTGGACAGTTTGACACTCAAGAGAGAGATAATTGAGAGAGAGAAAGTTATAGAGCAGGCTACTGCTGCTAGAATTGACACAGACAATTTGCTATTTTAATCGACAGAAGCACAAGAAGTGTTTTCTTCTTGTATCACCACCTTTTATGTATCTTTTGGAATCTGAATACATGTTTTCTTTAACCTAATGATATGTTTCTTTTTTAAAATGTATTGTATCGAAAAAATTGAATTGTGACACAAGTATTGCAATACGTATCGTATCGTGGAGGGGGTGTATTGTTTCAGCCCTACAAAATATAAAACAGGAATTTATTTCTCAGAAGCATTATCATTTAATAATTGCATATTTTAGATCCTCCATACAATGTGTAACCTTTTAAATGATTCTCCTTAATATGAGTGATAAGGGCTTTAGAATGAAGTGGTTCAAGAAGCCCAGGTCAAAGTTCAACCAAACATTCACAATCGACCATAGTCATAGTTTACACTCTCTTATCAGAAGTACAGTGTAAATCAGTGGTCTGCTAAAAAGGCAGTATAAAAATCTTGATATTAAACATAATTTATGTAATTTCATTGATTTTGCAATAATCTTGTAGGCCTTGAGTGACCTCACAAAAAATACAGAGGGCAATTATAGCAAAAGGGACTTCTTCTTTTGCGTATTTACTTTGTAATAACAGGTGAAATAATGTGACCGTTATATTCAGGCAATCACTATATTATTGTTCAAAGTAACTATGTTAAATTGTAGAGTAAAACCATTACCCAAACTGTATTATCTATCGTGTCTGGTCATGTTTATCTAGTTCAGGCAGTTTGGTCTCCATTTGTTTGATCTACATCCGTCACCATGGTCACCGGTTCAGTTCACTGTTTATGAATATCTTTTTTCTATCAGATCACTAATGCTTTCATCAAGTAAGCATTGACAAAGATTTACATGTAGTAACATCTACATGTTAAGAGTATGAAAGTTAATCTAAAAATATTTCCATTTCTATTTGTTTCCTCTGTGATAACTCTTTGAAAGTTAGTGGATTTGATTCTTGATCATTCTTCTGGCATGTAAATTTTGCCAAGCGATACGTCAGGAGCTCAAGAGGCCTAAAGTGCATGTAAATCTTACGCATCTGGCTTTGTGTCTGATGCTGTTGCTGAAGAGGCCTAAAATGCATGTACTTCTCATGCAGCTGTCTCTGTGTTTGACGTCAGTTGGTGGGCACTAATGAAACTGACATTGGATGCCTCATGTAATTTAAATCTATCAGACTACATATCTAAAATCTAAATTTACACTTTTATTTCATAATGAAATGGAAATACAAGGAATCACTGTCTAGTTAGTAGAGTATTCCAGGGACATCAATGACAGTTGGAAACGTGGGATAATTTAATATGCATGAGCTTTGCCCTTGTGCAAATTATCCCATGTTTCCAACTATCGTTGATGCCCTGGCATACTTCACAAATTAGAAAGTGATTCCTTAAGTAATGTCATGGGAGCTTAAAAACCTTATATATTTATAGTGACAGTTAACATTCTAGTGTGCTAATGCTATCAACCATTTACACTACCTTAAAGTGATCATTTTAAATTTCAAAGGTACAGCAAAGACATCCATTAATGTTCTGTTCAAGTTTTTTTTTTAATTTGATGCAGTTTTTCTATTTGAACAGTCTGAGATTATTTAGACCAAACTAACAAGACATAAGATTCTATTTTGTTATGATACTGCTGAACTGTTATCATTTTACCATGTGTAAATTAAGATTGACTTTAAAAATTATATAATTTAATTCAAACTGGGTGCATTATGATTAACTTGCATACCATGAAAATGCATACCATATACAGGGACATTACTTTTTCAATACATGTACATTTTTACTAATCATTTTGTATCAGGTATTGGTATTTTATAACTCTCAGATATGACTTCCAGGATTGTTAGCAAAAGAAGAATATCATGTAGTTTATATCATAGTGCATTGAGTAGGAATATTGAACTGGTGTGTCCAGAGTAAAAACAAAGCAGGATTCAAAATAAAACAAGGTATAAAACTTTAATAAACATCAAACATTAAAGCAACAAATAAATTAAGTATCTTGATCTCATGCAATAGCATCACAGTGAGTAGATGTTCCCAGAATTAGTAGTTAATCAAATGTGTTAGTTGTCACCATGCTGGTTAATAGGAGGTGCTATCCTAGTGCTGAAAATGAGGATGAAGTCAATAAAAAGATGTACATGTGCATAAAATATTGAATAAAATGATTCATGTGCATAAAGGAAAGAGAGCATGGTACATACATATATGTCTCGAGTATTTTGAAATGAAGAAATAAAGAATACACTATGTGCATCAGATTCTTCCACAAAATAATAGGAATTATATGTTACATGAGAAAATACAGTTTAGAGAAACAAAATCCTTAACAGTTTTAAATTGAGATTACTCACAAGACATTTAGCAATTGTCAAAAGGAATGACTTCCAATAAATTTCTAATCATGAAAAGAGATTCATTACAATATAAGTGTATTTTGGTCATGTGCATGCAGCCATTCTTGGAGAACTTCAGAAATGGGAAATATAATGAACAGTGATAAAGAGGGAGAAAGAAGGAGAGAGGGGGAATGAGGAATCTGATCAGAAATAATGAATTGAGTCAATATGTCCCAGGAAAGCCAAAAATAAACCTTATTCTAATACCTTCATTGTTAGTGTTTGTACTGTGTACTTGTTTGGCATCCAAGGCTGGGAAACAATATCCACGTGCCATGTGGTGGACTGAAAGATACAAGGTATAAAACAAGGTGACATCTCATTTACTGTATAAACAGCAAAACAAGATAAATCTAAGGCTCACATCTGATTTTTTTATCTATTTCTTGACCAAAATAAAAATCTTCCTTTTTTCACTTTGATGAGCAACCGCAATATTAGCATTAAATTATATGCACTTCATCTCATCATAAGAGAAACTGTCAAATTGTGTGTACACTTTTCCTCTTGAAATAGTTTTTCTATTTTATTTGTCCTGGGAAATAAACTGTTTATCTATACTTCTAGCATTTATAATTTCCCGAAATAAATGCAGTTATTGGGACATGTAAGTGAAGACTTATAAAATATTTAAAACCTTCATGAAGCCTATGTTTACATAAACAACGTATTCTATTTAGTTCACAAGGAAATTAAATATACCTACAAATAACTTCCCTGTGTTTTTTAAAGTCATTGAAGTTAAGCCTGTTTTACATAAATTAGACTTTTTATTTAATCCCATAAACAATGTTGATAGTGATACTCACGAATCCATTGCTGTTTACTGCACACAGAGACAAATCTTTTGTGTCTCCCTTCATACAAGAGTTCTCAGTGAGGGTGATATCACACACGTATCTCATACCGGCTACAACCTACAACAGAAAACACCACATCTCATATTGGATACAACCTACAATAAAAATCACATTTCATACCAGCAACCTACAACAGAAAACACCACATCTCATGCCGCCTACAACCTATAATAAAAATCACATTTCATACCGCAAGTCAAAACTCCTTGGTTAGTTTGTTTGGATCACTTTTACCGAAACTTATCAGATTTACAAATTTTAAAAACCTCTTGCATGAAAATGCTTCCTATTAAGTAAAACTAGCAATATTAATTCTTTTGAATCAAAACATGATATTCGGAATCAGCTGATCTCCAAATGCTGCACTCTTGGGCCATCAGAAAAAGTCTGATAACTGCACAATCATTGTCTCGAGCCACGGTTCAGAGTCTGCATATAGCTCTCTCCTACCTGTGGCTGCTTAGTCACATAAATCATTGTATTAATCTGAATATTTAAGGCTCTATGCTGTGACGTCATGTTCAGTCAATGACAATATTTGTTTCCATTGCAATTGACATCAACATTGGCATCATTAGTACACAAAAATATTTCGTAAACTGCGATTAGGTATTGAAAGGTTGTGACAAAGTTCATTTTCTGACTATGCTTTACTGGCATTGGTCAATATTTTCATGAAGAACAAAATATTTCTCTTCTCTATCAACCACGACCAGAATGGTAGAGAATCATACACTTTGGCCATGGTCTGCAATGATGCTGCATAATATGTCAAAAGAATGATTTTGTTTGTGTTGTTTATTGTTTACTTCCTTTTCAAGATCTTTCTTTTGTATTCTAGCAGTTGAGCTGGGAATTTTTTGTCTTTCAATTTGGAAAATTTACCAATTTCAGGCAATGAAAATTATACTGTTTTTTGCTGCCACTTATACATTTAAAAAAATAATTGACACTATTTAAATAATTTACAAATTCGCTTTGTAATGTTTCCACTGACCTGCTGGAAGCAGTGGCTGTAGTGGACAGGGGTAGTTTTGTACATGCTGTTGCTCTGCATGTCAACTTGGGATGCTGCATATTTCATGGCATCTAAGAACTGCTGACTGCTTGTATCGGCGTGAGATAGGCCCCCGACCAGAGCTAAGCGTTTATGACTGGTAGAACAGTGATCCGAGGTCAGCTCTCTTGTGCTGGTCCAGGACTGGTCAAACACTGTGAACTGACACAATGTCTTCTACAAAATTAACAATGAATGTATGAGCATCAGACTAGACAAAGATTTCTTCTATCATGATAATTTTAAATGTTAATTTTTTTCCATTAGTATTCTAAACAATACTATAAATTTGTAAATTAAGGTAATTAAAAACATAGTACTGTGTTCCTTTAAACATCATTAGTAAAACACAGTATAATTACATGTACAATGTCAGATCTTTATTTTTTATAAGAAAGAATGATCTAATTTATAGTTAGGAGAAAAGAAAACGAGTATCAATAAATTCATCTGTATGAAAAGTAATATAATTAATTTTGCAATGTGCACCTTAAAATTAACAAAAGCTTGTGTTACATTTCAAGTGATAAGCTTGTGTGACATATCATGTGACACAATGTGTTAAATTTCATGTGACAAGCTTTTGTGACATTTCATGTGATACAATGTATTACGTTTCATGTGACAACCTTGTGTAATGCTTTTTGTGATAAATTTGTTTGTTATTTCATGTAATACAAGGTAAGACATTATGTGATAAACTTGTGTGACATATCTCAGCTGATGAACTTGTTTAACATTTCGTGTGATAATCTTGCATATTGTTTCATATGATAACCTTGTGTTACTTTTCATGTGATAACCTTGTGTGACATTACATGTGATAATCTTGTGTGACATTTCATGTGATAACTTTGTGTGATATTTTATGTGATAACCTTGTGTGACATTTCACGTGATAACCTTGTGTGACATTTCATATGATAACTTTTGTGTGACATTTCATGTGATAATCTTGTGGGATGTTCCATGTGATAACCTTGTGTGATATTTTATGTGATAACTTTGTGTGATATTTCATGTGATAATCTTGTGGGATGTTCCATGTGATAACCTTGTGTGATATTTCATGTGATAACCTTGTGTGACATTTCATATGACAACCTTGTGTGACATTTCATGTGATAACCTTGTGATGTTTTATGTGATAACCTTGTGTGATATTTCATGTGATAACCTTGTGTGATATTTCATGTGATAATCTTGTGTGACATTTCATGTGATAACCTTGTGTGACATTTCATGTGATAACCTTGTGTGATATTTTATGTAATAACCTTGTGTGATGTTTCATGTGATAATCTTGTGTGACATAACATGTGATAATCTTGTGTGATATTTCATTTGATAATTTTGTGTGACATTTCATGTGATAATCTTGTGTGATATTACATGTAATAACCTTGTGTGATGTTCCATGTGATAATCTTATGTGACATTTCATGTGATAACCTTGTGTGATATTTCATTTAATAACCTTGTGTGACATTTCATGTCATAAACTTGTGTGATGTTCCATGTGATAACCTTGTGCGATATTTCGTGTGATAACCTTGTGTGATATTTTATGTGATAACCTTGTGTGATATTTTATGTAATAACCTTGTGATGTTTTATGTGATAACCTTGTGTGACATTTCATGTGATAAGCTTGTGTGATGTTCCATGTTATAACCTTGTTTGATATTTCGTGTGATAACCTTGTGTGATATTTTATGTAATAACCTTGTGTGATGTTCCATGTGATAACCTTGTGTGATGTTCCATGTGATAACCTTGTGTGACATTTCGTGTGATAACCTTGTGTGATATTTTATGTGATAACCTTGTGTGACATTACATGTGATAACCGTGTGATGTTCCATGTGATAACCTTGTGTGATATTTCGTGTGATGACCTTGTGTGATATTTCGTATGATAACCTTGTGTGAGATTTCATGTGATAACCTTGTGTGAGATTTCATGTGATAAGAGAAATTGTTTACCTGTCCTCCACAAGTAGCTTCTACAGTCAACTTGTAGTTAATACCTGCAACTACCTGTAAATATCAAATTTGTACATGTGTTAACAAATCCTAAGCTTGTTCTTTGATCTAATAAAAACAGAATATTATGATAAATTAATTATTTTATAAATACAAAACATACCATAACAGTAAAAAACAATCTTTATTTAATTAACTGACTTCAGGTTTTAAGACCAGTTCAATTTTTGTTTTGTCTTAATTGCAATTTCTTTTACAAAATGAATTAATTTTGATGTTTTGATGCTATAATTCTAAAACCAATAACAACATTGAACAAAATTCATCTGAATAACTGAACTGAATAAGTGGATTCAAGACAATATATTGTCTTTCATACCATCTGACACTTCTGTAAAAAAAAATAAAATAATAAAATTGATGGACTCAGGTGTGCTAGTGGATTGATATCATACGCTATAATAAAAGCCTGAAAACTTACAGAATTCATTAACAGTAGTATTTAACATGTTTAATCTATAAAAGAAAAGACTTTTTAAAATACGATGACTGCCATACTGTCTTTCACATTCTCCATTTAGCAAAAAATATAAAGCTGCCAGTGGAGAAATTTTTTTTGTATATACCAACACGATCAAGTAAATCTTTAATTAGACCTTGTCAAAATTGCCTTTGAATTCTACTCCTAAACAATATGATAAAATGATCCTAAGTTCCTGGCCAAAAGTGTGTGGATTTCACTTTTCTTCTTGGTTTAATAGGTACACAATATGACGATCAATCTATCTTCAAACTGTTTATTTTCAGTCAAAAAAAAAAAAGAAAGGAAGGTAGAATGGTACAAAAACATCTCCTGAGGGGCATAACTATTCTCTTTAGAGAAGTGGACAGGCTTTCATTTACATCCAGGATGTAGGTGAAGGTCTGAAAACTTCTCTTAAGAGAATAATCAAGAGAATATGCATAACGTACTCAACATGCAACAATAGTTTTATCCCCCCCCCCAACCATCCATAAGTACGGAAAACACGATTTCGATGATCAGAGATGTACTAGTTGTTGTTTTTTACCTGTGTACTAGCATGTTTAACTGTGAAGGTTCCATCACATGACGAGACGTCGTGTGATTTGGCTGCATATGCATTGAGAGCAAACTGGGCCATTTCTTGTACAACTGCGTTAGCCTCAACATTATCGAGTGGGCAATATCCTCCTGGCATACAAGCTGCAGATACGGACGCCACCAAAACACATGATATCAAAAAAGTTCTCATGATTATTAATTCCCTTGTCACAACTCAGGGACAGTGAAAAATAACTAAGAAAGTGAATGTCTGTCACTTCCTTTACATGTTTATATACACCTAGCGCCCTCTATTGCCCAATATCAAGTCAGGAAAGATAACCACCTGTTCATTTTCCCGCGGTCTAATCAGATTCGGAGTTTCAATAACTATGCGTTTCGTTTTAATAATCTGTAGGAGGGTGTTGACGGAAATTATTTCTTATTTTTAAAAAGAGGGCTTGGTAGCAGAAAAACATTTTCTATCAACTAGTTAAATAATCAATTACTCTTTTTTTTAAATTTATTTTAATTACATTGTATTTATGTATCTATATCTACAATATTACAATGTAGTACATATATTTATTTATCTTCTTATTAATTAAAATATACTTATTTCATTTTAGTCTAATATATATCAATTTTCTCAACAAATATCAAATTACGCTCATAACATTTTATAAGACCCATGGTACGTATAAAAATTATCCGTCGATGAAATTATAGAACATGATATAACACACTTTTTTATGCCCCCGTAATCGATGAGTGGGTGGGGCCGTGGCGTCACGGCTTTCAATTAATTCCATGTCACAGGTTTTTTCCTTGTGACAAGATCTTTCTTTGGGTACCAACAAATTTGACCTCTTCATCTTGGAGTTTGATCCAAGTTTACCAAAAATTACCACGCCTTTGTCATACCTTTTGATGAACAGTTGCTAGGATTTTCCAGCGGTACTTCACATGAGTATTGTGACAAGACTTTTCAGGGAGTATAAATTTTGTACATTTGACCTCGACCTTAGAGTTTGACACTTTTAAAAAACTTTGATCTTGGCCATAACTTTTGCACAGTTAGAACTAGGGCTTTCGAAAATTCATATTTCAAAGGTTTTTTTTTTTTTTTTTTTTTTTTTTTGGTGACAAGACCTTGCTTTAGACACTAACACTTTTAACCTTTTCGTTTAGAGTTTGACTGTCATTTGACAAACTTCGACTCTCGCCATAAGCTGTCATACGCGGACATCAGTTTTTCACAAACACTTCTTGTTGTATATATTATATGGATCTTCATTCCATTTTTCTGCCGTAAAGTTTATATGGAAAACTGAAGGTAACAAACAGTGATCAATCTATCAGAAAAAATAAATGCAATCTACCAATATACAGAGCATAAATCACGGACCTCTAGAATTTCCAAACTGGAATCAGGTACCATTGAGGAGTAAGCATTCCCTATCGATCGGTCACCCTGCCTAGTTTATCAGGTAGACGGAATGTTCAGTAGTCATATTTTGTTTTTGTTTTTTTTAAATCCTTACAATATTGGTATGAAATATATCAGACAAAATACGAACCATTGATAGGCTTTACATATGCAATCACTTTCTAACAAGTTCATTAATTAGTATTAGATCAATTATTAACCTTTTCGATCTAAAAAATGGAAACGCTGATTAAAACGATTTTGTTGAATGAAATCCCTGTAACATCAATCTATCTGTCGTAACTTTAAAAAAAATGTAAAGGAGAAACCCCCCTGTTGCAAACGTTAATTTTTTCTTATACCTTTCTTCAATTAAGCCCCACACGTATACTGTATACAAATGCATGGTAAAAGCTGAAAGAAATACAGTGTTGGTTTATCATTGGTTTGAAAAAAATAATGTTGGTAGGGTAAAAGAGTCTAAAATGTGAAGGATATAATTGTTTTAAAACCCACGTTCTTCATTAAGGCTAGTAAATAAAATGTATTATTCAAAATCTCTTGTCACTGGTGTTACTTCAATAGTCATTGGTGTTACCATAAAAGGTAACAATTCGTAGAGAGATTTAAACAAACTAAGTTAAACTTGACTAATTTTACTTTACTTAGGTGATAAACTCTGACATTCATGCATGGCCTGAAAATTTTTCAGAAGGAAAAATACATTTTATAAGCATTAAAAATGTTTGTCATTGGTGTTACATGTATATGATCTGAAGTTGTCATTGGCATTACCATATATTTAAAACGTCTGTAAGTGGAAAAAAATATTTATTGGAAAATAAATCTAATTACTTTCAAACACCATAAATTAAGTTTGCAAAGTAGAATACAAATAAATAATTTTTCTATATAAGAAGAATATATTTTGCCTCCAAAAGTACCTGTTTTGTCAATGGTATAACCATTCCTGTCATTGGTGTTAAACTTTAGGAAGTAATGCCAATGACAGTAACACCAATGACGTATTAGTCATAAAATGATCTGGTATCTCTAATTTACCCTGGATAAAGTAAAAGTTTTGGCCACATAGCTATTAGTTCACCTAAAGAACATCTTTCGTAAAAGAGTTCAATGAATATCTAAAATCGTTTTGAAATAACGATGGAAACACCACTGACAAAAAATGTTTGTACTAGTGTACTTTTTTTACTTCTGAAGTCCATCAATATGTTCTGATCATGAATATCAAGGAATAGTTTCTGTTGTTTTTGGTGAGAAGTGATTTAATATGACTTAGGACTGTTTATGTTCTCTTATCAGGAATGATAACTCTTTTGTAGCAAAAACAAAAATAGTAACACCAATGACACAGCTTTCTTGTACAGTCATATTTAATGCTGTCTCAGTTAAATGGAAGATGGGGCTCATATTTTTTTTATTCAAAGATATATTCTATTTAACGTATATTTTATGCATACATGATTTTTCAGACAAAATTCCATATAATTTTTGGCGTATTTTTCCTTATTTGAAGAGAAAAATTCTATTGACAGCATGAATTTGGCTGATTGGTGTAATATAAAAATCATCCATTAGTAGTATAAGGATCCTAGCTAGGGGAGGATTCTGATTGGCTGAGAGAAATCACCTGATCAATTCTGATTGGTGGAGGGGATAAATGTGTCAACTGAGTGGAGTGCTAACCCTAACCCCTAGCCCCCTAACCCTAACCCTAACCCTAACCCTAACTAACCCTAACTAACCCTAACCCCCTACCCTAACTAACCCTAACCCTAACTAACCCTATCCCCCTAACCCTAACTAACCCTAACCCTAACTAACCCTAACCCCCTTAGCCCTAACCCCCTAGCCCTAACTAACCCTAACCCTAACCCCCCTACCCCTACCCCTAACCTATTCCCTTAAATACGGGGCGCTTACATTGTGTTTTTTTTTTTTTTACATGGGTACGTAGGTACTACGTTTTTTGTTTTTATGCTGACTATACAGGTAAAAAATGCGCCGTGTGCAAAACATTTCAAGAATGTGATTATGACGTCACGCATTCACAGTCTAGACAGTCCTATAACCGGTTTGAACTGGTTTTAGTGAAAACAAGAACACACACAATACAGATTAGAACACAGCAATTTTATTCACAATGAAAAATACAAAAAATGATTTTAATTTCCACTGTATCGGCATAAGGGGCATTTCTTGTAGGAAGTCTCAAAGAGTTTCTTCACACACTTTTCACAACACGGATATTGCCTGCATTGTCCGCATTTCCATTTCCCTTGAGTCTTTTCCTCGTAGCACATATCATACATTCTTTCAAGGGTCTGTTCCTGGTCATTTTCATCCATCGGGGAGGCGGTATGTTCTCAATTCCCTTCTTCCAGATGAAATATTTAATGCACCAGCTACAGGCACAAGCCCCCCTTAGCCCTAACTAACCCTAACCGTAACCCCCTAACCCTAACTAACCCTATCCCCCCTTAGCCCTAACTAACCCTAACCCTAACTAACCCTAACCCCCTTAGCCCTAACTAACCCTAGCCCTAACTAACCCTAACCCTAACCCTAACCCCCTAACTAACCCTAACCTATTCCCTTAAATACTGGAGTTGTTTACACAGTGTTTTTACATTGGTACGTAGGTACTACGTTTTTTTTTTATGCTGACTACACAGGTAAATACTTGGCAGCGATTCAAGTCAGGGGACCGTGTGTAAAAAATATGCTGACTATACAGGTAAATACTTGGCAGCGATTCAAGTCAGGGGACCGTGTGCAAAAAATATGCTGACTACACAGGTAAATACTTGGCAGCGATTCAAGTTTGTTTAGGACCGTGTGCAAAAAATATGCTGACTACACAGGTAAATACTTGGCAGCGAGCCAAGTTTGTTTAGAGCCGTGTGCAAAAAAAAATATGCTGACTACACAGGTAAATACTTAGCACCGATTCAAGTTTGTTTAGAGCCGTGTGCAAAAAAAAATATGCTGACTACACAGGTAAATACTTAGCACCGATTCAAGTTTGTTTAGAGCCGTGTGCAAAAAAAAAAAATATATGCTTACCTATGCATTGTGACGTCATCCATGTCAGCGAGCTACCCTATACATTATGACGTCATACACTTGTAAAATTAAAGTTTCATTTTCACTTTTGTTTCTAAGAAGTCAACTTAGATTTTCAAAAAATGTAAGACTATCTTTTGTTTTTCCTCTCTTTTACTTTGATGATTTTTATGTTATGAAGCTTTTCATGTATAAAGCTCAATTTTTCCATGACCACGGAAGTAAACATCCTGATGCATTCTTGTCATGTGAATGTTGAGAGCGTGTTCATTTTTGAAATCTCCTTTCTGACAGACCTATTCCACAGGTAAGTTTGTCTTTGTTTTGTTTACATTTCCAATGATGGAGAATCATAATTATGTCAAGTTCTGTTTTGAATGTAAATGCTGTATTTATCCTCATTTCATGTGATTTACAGTTGTTTAGCCTGCATGTAACTCAGAGTGCATTTAATAATTCTATGATGGGTCATTCTATGATTGAATTTCAATCAGAAAAATATTCACTAAATTTTGGTAAAATACATGGTATCTTTTACATTTCTGTCCCTTTTGTCTGTAAATTATTGCTTTACTTACATTGTAAAATGAGGTTAATTGTGTATCACTGAATTGTATGATTTTTTTTCAGGATCAGCTGAGATGTTATTTCACTGGATTATTTAATGGATAGGCTTATTGGGCATATATTTGGATATTTCTGGTAAGTTTATCTTGTTTTTTTTAATTGTTATACATTTCCTATGAAGGTCATCTTTGCATTTAAGCATTTTTATATGGTTAATTTAATTACTGTATAATACTTATGTGATCTGTTATCTCTAACTTACATTCATATAAGCACACCCTTATTTAACCTAAAATATATTAACACATGATTAAGGGATCTTCAGAATATTAATAAGGCCTTTTGTATAAATTATATAATTTCATAATTCATTATGTATGTTACCCATGGAATTCAGACTTACTAAATGGTGATCAAAGAGATATTAATTAGGAATCTAATAAGAGAAAAGTAAGAATCTACAAAAGATTAATCCTAAGTCATTTACTTTTTGTTTTGATTCTAAATATGTGGGAAATATGGCATACATATATTTTCATTTTCACTTTTGATTCTTAAGCTTTTCAAAAAAAAAAAAAAAAAATGGACTACATGTTGTACTGTGATGATGTAAAAAAATAAAAATGTATTTTTCTGTATGCATTACTGATAGCTATTAAACCAAAATTGAATCTGCTGTTAATAAAAGTCTTTTAGTGTCTAAATAATTAATTTGATAATCATTTTATTTTGTGATATTAATACATTAGTTGTGCTTGTTTATTATCTATAAATAACATGATGAACTTTTCTCATCTCGAGTTAATGTTAAAAACAATTAGTTTTGAGTCTAAAAACAAATATTTTCATGATCTTTTTTGGCATTGTATATGTTGTATTAAAACATGCATTGTTTCATACAGTACTCTGTCATACTTAAAAAATGCTTTTATTTCTACAGTCATCAACATGGAATGTATGACTTCATCTTTTATACAGTCGGGTTCGGGGTTTCGGGCGGCCATGACGAATTTCGGCAAGATTTTTACCCCAGTGAAAAAGGCTTGTAATCCACAGTGTAGGTCTTTTAAAGTTGTTTCACATTGTTTATGATTGTGATTATGTTATCACTCACCTATATGTTTAATGTTAGCTATGCTAAATAACCCATTTCTGTGTAATTTGAGAGAATGTTTTTGTCATGTGCTTAAAGTATGGCCTGCTATTCATGTCATCATTTAAAGTCGCTCCTCAAATAAATCTGTCTTAAAAAATACATTTTACAAATGACATTTAATATGATTAGAGTATAGGTATCCAAATATATAAGAGATATTATTTTGCATTACATATATAAGAGGCATTGTCTCATGTAATTTAAATCATAATAACAAAAATGGAATTTATTTTTCTATACAGTCCTCAACCTGGAAGATATGTTTTGTTCCTAACCATCTATAATCCATTCTCTATGAAGTGAAGCCTGGCTGCTCTTCCTTTGGAAATACACAGTTAGTCAATCAACATAGAAACACACAAACTTGAAGGTAAAGTTTCAATGAGATACAATTGTAACTTTTATTTATTTATTTATTTTTTTTTGTTACATATGCATGTTTATATTTTTGAATTGATAAATAAATGATATATTTAAATAAAGAGGGCTTGGTGGTCATGGTCATGTTTAAACCATATTGATATCCTTCACAAGAAAAGGCATAAAAATTCATGATCAAATTTTAAAACTAAAATGTATGAAGTTTTTCTGTGCCAAATGATAGTTAACAGCTAAAGATAGCATATCTATAGAATAAGTTAAATATGGCTAATTTGTTAACCCCCAGTTTCCTTAATAGCATAGTTGGTAAAGATAGCAAGTTTTCACTTCAATTGCTGGTGAATTCTGAATTTTCCATTTAATATTAACATTATATCACAGGGAAAGAATACTATAATGTGGTTCATTAGGATGACCAGAAAAGAAATCTTAATGACCCTTATGACTATGTATAAAGTCTGTAACCTTATAACTGATGTAAGATGACCTGATTGTTTGGAATTAAAATTTCCTGGTGTTTCTATTACCCAAGATCTTCTTATGAGTGCATGGGACTGTTGTAACCCTTCTCCTGTTTATAAAAATAATACCTTGGAGCATGACACTTTATTCATTTAAGGTACTTTCAATATCATTTCTATGAGTTTGTGTTCTTTTTCTTTTTAATAATCTAGTGTTATATCTCCTTTACCCTAATTAATATGCATGCTTCCAAAATCATTATAGATCTGTCTGTATAGTTTTTTCAGCTCTTTGAACACAAATACCCTGATTCAAACTTTTGAGGTAAACATCATGGAGACATCATAAATGATTATCAGAGTGTATATATCACAATCTTGACCATAAGGTCAATTAAAATGGTCAAAAGCACAACAAATGAAAGTGAAAACTTTCTTATCAGAATACATAATTTTGTAATAGTAATTCTTACCTTCTTTTGGTAATAAATGGTAATATTCTTCATTAGCCTCTTCTGCAATCAAGGATCTTTCTATGTAATCTCTGACAACATTAGGATCACCCTTTTCTGGACATAATTGGTTATATTCTTCTTGAGAAATGATCTCAATAGTGCCATCTTTTTTTTATTTTAACTGGTATACCTCTGTCTACATCTTTCTCTGAAAGAACTCTTTTTCCAAACTGAATTTTACTCATTCCTTTACTCTTTTCTTTACTGGAGGTGTTACCCATGGTTAATATGAAAAGTCAAAATCTGATGTTACACCTTGTATTTATACCCTTTTTTGTCTATATTTAGAATTCCATCAAGCTTATATTACATAACAAATTTTTTTTTTCAACTAAGACATTATTTTTATTTTCCAGGATATTCTAGTGAGGGCTTATGGAAATGATCTATGTCTACTCTCAGAATGGTGAAAGACTATCAGATTATGCAAAGACTAACAGGATATCCTCTCTTGGAACACTGAAACAAGAAAAATCAAACAGGAGGTGGATGGCACATAGATAAATATGGATTTAAAGAAGCACAGGTGAAAGACTATCAGATTATGCAGAGACTAACAGAATATCCTCTCTCAAAACACTAAACAAGATCAAATATTGAAAACAGGATGGAGAATTTAACCAACACATAGTATAAATTATTTTTCCAACCAATTTAGACAGTTGTTATGTATGAGAAGACATTTAAACCTTTTATTTTTCAGGATGACAAAGAAATTACAGGATATTCAGATGCTAAATTTGATATAATTATTACTTTCCTGGAAATGTAAATATATTTTATTTGTGTATATGTGTGTATTGTGCCATTTAAATTTGAAATTGAAATATGATAAATCCCTTAATAGTCACATCAAGATGCAGGTGAATAATCTGTGATTAATTCTGAATAACATGAATTATCTCATCACCAACTTCAGAAAAAGTACTTAGTTTTATACTTTGTCAGGGTCAAAGCATTTATTGAGATTTTTTTTTGCTATAGATTTTTGGATCATTATAAAAGTTATATATATATTACTTAAAGACTTTATATATATTGAATTATATATATTATACCTTTTAAAAATTATATATGTATTTATTTCTTTTTTTTATACACAACAATAGATAAATTGCAGTCATTTATCAAACTGAGGTCTAATCAAATCTAGAATTGATATTTGAAGATACAGTTTTTATCAAAGTATCTACAGGTGAAGATTTTTTTTTTTTACCAATTCATATTACAGATGTTATTTGATTTTTAACCTTTTATTTTTCATCTTATTTCTATAACCCCTATCAAATAACACAGATAAGATGTTTAAAAGCTAGCTTTGGTGTAATTATTACTTTCCTGGAACTGTAAATACATTTTGTTTGTGTATGTATATGTTTAATTTTGAATTTAAAATTGGTCTCAATAAGACCCCACAATAAAGATGCAAGTGCCCCCTAATCTGTGATTTAATAATATCTTGAATATCTTTATCATACCATATTGTACATACTTATTACATATAGAATGGTTGTATGAATACACTTTGTTGTTTAGGACACTTTGTCAAGGTCAAAGCATAAGATTATTGAGATGACTTCTTTGACAATAATTTGTAACTTGCAAACTTCACATCATTAGTAAAGAATGAATAAGAGATTTCTATAGATTTTTGGATCATTTTTATCCTGGGTTATATTTTCAGTTGTTGTAACTTTAACAATTTGTGATAACCTAGAGACTTTTTATCAGCTTTATTGGGTGGCATGGCATATTCTTTGGTAAATCATATGCACTATGTTCAAGGATGTTTAAAGACTATTACTATGTAATACCCAGGGTTTCTGTAAAAATCTTACTATCACTGCATAGATAAAAACTGGTTGGAATAATACATGTTGACAATAATTTGCAACCTACAAACTTCACATCATAAGTAAAGAAAGATTCAGAGATTTTCTATAGATTTTTGGATCATTTTTCTCCTGGATTATATTTTCAGTTGTTGTAACTTTAACAATTTGTGATAATAGACTTTTTATCAGCTTTATTGGGTGGCATGGCATATTCTTTGGTAAATCATATGCAATGTTCAAGGATGTTTAAAGACTATTACTATGTAATACCAAATTCTAGGAAAAGATTGAAATGTTAAAATACATGTTCAAGTGTGTATAAATGATTATCACTGTAATACCTTAGAAGTCTGTTAAAATTTTATTATCACTGCATAGATAAAAACTGGTTGGAATAATACATGTATATTTTTTGAAATAAGGATTAGGGGAAAAGTCAAGAATGTGGATATGACTTTTATTCAAGTGGTGCTGTACGACAACTCTGGTGATTTACTTACCTTCAGTCATAAAAAAAAAAAAATAGGTATTGGGAAGACTCCTCTAGATTTTGAAATTTTTATTCAAAAGTACAGAATTTTTTTAAAGTTTGAAAGATTGAATAGCAGCATATCATTTGCTTGTGAATTAAAAAATAAATCCAATCATATACATCTTTAGATGATAATTGTAGAATTTTATCAATTCCTGGACTTCTGTCTTGATATCATCCCTTAATGTCTTTAAAATTTTAATGATTGTCTTTTAGTTTTAATTGAATTAGTTTCTTTCCTGCATGTGAAAATGACATCACCCAAAGATATGAAGAAGACAATTTTCATCACAGTGAAAGAGATTGTTTTGTTAAACATAATGCATTGATGCACAAATATATTTTTAAATTTCTAATAGCTAGGGTTCATATTTCTTTATATGGAATGCTAAGTACTGTTGATTTCAATTTTTGTGAACAAAAACATACTAGTAGAAAAAAAAAGTACATGATGTGTCAGAAAAGCATGTGGAAACCTGATGACTTTGTCATTGTTGATTAAATCAATTATGAGTTTCATCTTTGTTACATTGTAAACATTTCTAAGTAGGGCATACATCAGAAACTCTTAAAATTCTGAGTATCAGGGTTTAACACATCAATTCCAAATGATTTTTGGACGCTTTTTATGTATCAAAAAAAAAAAAAAAAAAAAAAATAGAATATCTGTTCGCAGATGTTTCAAAAGGAAAACAAGCACAAAGAAATGATTTGTAATGTTTTTTATGTGATTCATGTAAAATGTATTTTAAAAGTGTACCCTAACATTTATCTTTTGCATAAATACATATTTTTGTGGAGAATTTTTCATAACTTTGAAAAAGTAGTCTTATTGTTTAATATGATTAACTTAGAATTTTGTAGACTTTAAAGTTGTACATGATGTGTTACACATCTTACATATGTAACCATTTTCATTTCCAGGGCATTCAGCATATATTGTGGTTTTGTCTTAAATTTGTTTGCTTATGTAATCAATAATTTGAGAATACTCAAATTAGGTAATATATGAGAGAATAAACAAGAAAATCAGGTTTAAAAAATGATTTTTACAATTAATAAGGGGTTCTTCTATATATTTAATCTATAAGTAAATTCAGTCTATACAATTAAGGTATTTCTGTATGAAATAAACTTGCATTTAAGCATTTTAAGTCAATTGTAAACATTACTTTAACCAGTTTTAAAAAATGATTAGATTCACTGTCAGCATGTTATTTCTTATAAAATAAATGAGAAAACAAACAATTTAATTTGAGTCAGTTACTTAATGTAAATAAGAAGCATTGGAAATTGGGAATATTTCACAAAGTTGATTGAGCATAATTAATTTATACAAAATTTTATTCACTTAAGCATTAAAGAAATCATTTCAAATTTCAATATACAAATCATGTTTAGTCATGCAGTATATAGTTTACACTTACCAAAAAGTAAATGGTTATCTCAATTCAGGATCAATCCAAAGGTCAAAAAAGGAATGAAAAAAAAAATATATTTTTTTTTATGTATCAAACATGTAGGTATTGCAATAAATTCACTGTATTCATTTTTTTTCTATGTATGAATAGCTCTGATTTAGGCAATCAAAATACAAGAAGTAAATAAATTATGTCAAATGATGAAGGTATACACCAGAAAATTACATGAACAGATAATTTTGAGTTTCCCTCAAATATGGTTGCCAAGGGATGTGAAATAAAAACAAAATATGGATTCATCTATTAGGATTGAGACTTGTACATAATATGAATGATGGTTACTATGACATTAAGAATGACATGAAAGAAATATATTTGATTCAATTATATAATTAGTTTTTAATCCATACAGTCAAAATGGAGGAAAAAAAATTCTTTATTAGGCATGAAGTAACATAGAATCACCCAATCCATCAAAATTTTACCTTTTGAAGAAAAGGAACCCTACTTGCTTTTTTAAGTTGCCATTCATATTTTTGTGTTTGACAGGTAGAGCAATGATTTCTAACTAGTATAGTGAGAACTTTATTTTAGAATCATCAGATTGTTCTGATATTCTGGTTAAGATATCAACATGACATCAATTAATTTGTTCATACAAAAGGGATGGAAGCTTTTCCAGGTTTCCTCTTTACTCAGATTAGATTGTGTTTTACTAATTTATTCAACATATAAGATACTCATCAAAGTCAAACAAAGGTAAATAAATGACTTTATTAAGTTTTTAGTCAAAAGGTCAAAGAGATGTGGACATCTGCTAAATTTAATTGTTTAGTTAATATTCATCAATGGATAGGTTAATTAAACAAACTTCATATATTTTTGGATTTTCAGGTTAAAGATCAGCACAATTTTTTGCTATACCATTGTTTTCCATGAATATCTTAACACCTCACTTTTGACTTTTCAGGTTAAAGGTCAATGTATTCCTGCTACAGTAAAAACTTCATTATTTAAGGATCTCATAGTGATATTTTTTTTATTTGTAAGGAATTAGGTATAAAATCTCAGACTCTTTCTATAATATGTCACTGAATGTGCTCCTTCATTTTAGAGAGTTTTACGAGCAAAATCATATACTGACTTTCAATCCTTCAAAACACAATATGTATATTTAAATCTTGAGATTCAGACTTTCAGACTTTTAGGCTTTCAGCCTTTTAGGATATCAATCTTAAAAACATTCAGACTTTCAATCTTTTAAAAACTTTCAATCTTGAGGACTAAGTATTTTAATATTTATCTTATAAGTCTCGTCTTTTATGTCATTACAATTAGTCTTTAGTAATTCAAACTTTTTTCATATTTGTAAAGCCAAAGTGTTGAAATTACGGTGTTTGTGTAATCTTCTTAATGTTTATCTAGAATTACTGCTTTTAATACAGTCAAATATAATTTGTGATGATCAAAATCTCCAACTGAATTCAAAGACAAACTGCCTGACCTATACATATTTAGAATTTCAATATCATACATTCTTGAATATCCATAAATATAAAAATATAATGATTCAGCATTAGCTATCATCCATACACTTGTTAACCTAAGGAACGCTCTTATCATAAGTTAAACGCATGAAATTCCTCATGCAATTTTGAAGAATTTCTGTTATAAGGG